TATATATATATATATATATATATATATATATATATATATATATATATATATATATATATATATGCAAGATAATAAGTAATACAAATAAGTTTCTTATATTTTTAGAATTCTCCCAAAAGAGGCATCGATTATGTTGCGAGAAATGTTAGATACTGGAGTTGATTTTGCATAACTATATTACATGTAATTATCTTGCCAATTATGTATACACATATATATATGCATATAAGGAAATTAGGAATTTTTCGAAAGATTATCCTAACTATTCTTGCAATATTTCTTCTACATAATTTTTCAGCATTGTTGATACTTTTAATATTTATGTAAGATCGTGATTTGTGTACAATACAAATTTTTCTTTGCTCATTTTTACTTTAAGAGGAAGAATATACATGCCAAAAAAATTTATATAACAAAAAATATTTTATTATGTTTTACACTTATTGAAATAATATGTATATCGTGAGGAAATTATCAATTTTTTTGTATATATTATAACATTGAATTTAGAGAGAGGAGTTTTATTGTACATACATTATACTCTCTCTCTCTCTCTCTCTCTCTCTCTCTCTCTCTCTATATATATATATATATATATATATATATATATATATATATATAATGTGTGTGTGTGTGTGTGTGTGTAATATTAAAATTGATTTATGGTTAGAGTTTAACTTTTATGCATAAATAGCATTATGTGAACTCTCGCGCATATTAAAATAACGTATACATACAATACTTTATTTTAATTGGTAATTTATGATAATTATCTTGATTTTAATCATTAATCATTCATGATTATCATCTTCATGATAATTATGATGTAATAGTAATTTTTCAGAATTTAAAATAAAGAAACTTCTACTGTGAATTATATTCAGAATAAGTTTTATCAGAGAAATGTATCAATTGCGTCGGTTTTCTTCTGAAATTTCACACATTATGTGTGTGTGTGTGTGTGTGTATGAAATATGTGTATATATATATATATATATATATATATATATATATATATATATATATATATATATATATATATATATATATATATATATATATATATATATATATAAATAAAATAAAAATATTCTTTAATAGAATTTTAAACTGATTTTCTTGTTTTTCTATGTGTACGCAAATGTAAATTATATGTACGCAAATGTAAATTATAGTATATATATATATAAATATAAGGCTATCTTTGTAAATACTCAATTTTTTTTTTTAAGAAACTGATATTTTCTTGAGATAAAATACTATCGACAACATATATGGTATATTATATTAAAATATACCGCTTATATAAATCTTAAAAATCAAGTAGTGTAACTTACGCTTACTACGATGTTTTTTTTCGTCTTGTGTTCTATTTACCCCTTGAAATATGAACTTAAAACTAAAAATCATTTCCTATATTTTTATTACGTTGATGTTGTCCTATATATAAAAAATGATGACGATCAACATTATTATCGAAATAATTAAAGTGAACAATATATATCAAGGAATTATCACGATTATAGATACGAGGGAATCATTACTATCTAAATGTCATTGTTGTGTAGTTTAGATTAAACGTTTACGTTTTAGTTTAGATTAAACGTTTACGTTTTAGATGACCCAAAAAAAATAATTTACAATCCATAACTACAATACGGATTGGTTAATTAGATATTAAAATATCTAGTAGAGTACGTTTCTGATCCTAACATTAAAATTGGTTTATGCTAATCTAAACCAGGAGGAGCTGGTTCGGAAAGATCAATTTCCATTGTATCTGGTTTTTGATCATTCGAATAATCACCGGGTGGCGCCTGAAAGAAGTTGATGGAAGAGATGTTTGGTCAAGTCTCAAGTTTGTTTTATTTTTATAAAGATTTTTCAAAAGAGTTTTGCCTTTATATACATTCATCTTTACTCACAATATCAAATTCATCGTGCATGTCACAAAGCACTTTACCCTGTATGACATCCATTATCGATTGCGGAATGTGCGCTTTCTAAAAAAACGATATTATATGTCTGTATGTATTTATCCATATTAAAATTCGATCGGTATAGAAAGACAAAAATATATATTCCCACCTATATTTAGCGTTATATTTGGTATACTCCAAGTTGTAATGACACTTTATTGAACAAAAAGTTCATTCTTATTGATAATACAGTATAGATAATATGAGATAATCGCATTTATAACGCTAAATGGGAATACATATAGTTCAGAAGATGCTACAAAATTACCTGATTCTCAGCAAAAGCTTCAACATGAGCTAGTAAGGGTGCACGCAAATTGCTGGCCATTTTCAGTGCCTCTGACAATTGTGCCGGTGGTAGTTGCAAAATAACAGCGAAACTCTGTGGTTGCGTGCGTTCGCAGCATTTCACAAAACCCTCCCACACTTTAGGCTGTTTCCATACTTGTTTTAGAATTAAACGTTGAAGTATGTTCATAACGAATCCACTCAGCCTAGGATAAAGGGCCAAGCTTTGTATGACAGTTCGCATAAGTAAAGTCGGTAGAGGTGTCATCTCCATAAGATGTTGCATCACAACAGCGACCGTTTCCTGCGTATACACTTGTTTCTCGGCAAAACAGAGGGACGTTGCTGTAAGAAAGAAAGGTATTGGTAAAATTTAGATTAGCACTTAGCAGTTTCTCATAAGCGACATGCATAATTGTTGCGCGCATAAACCAAGCTACCTTTAATAACAGTCTTTAATTCAGCCTTGTTTGGATCTATATTATGTAGAGCTATCAACAATTCGGCAGGTGTAATAGGAGATGTATGAGGTACGCCGCTGTCATTGTTATGCGTTCCAAGTAATCTATTGAATACCTAGAAAGTATAAATTTATAAAACGCATTTTGAATGTGCTCGATACAACAAATAATATATTTCTCAATGAGTTATCTACCTCTTTTACAACATAAGGATTTAATTTGATTAACTTTGGAAGTGCAGCGATTACTTCTTTCTTTGTGAGGCCATTAAGAACAGGTATTAAGAATCTGACATCGGAAACTCTGGTTTGATATAACTCTCGTACTCTGGCCACTAACTCTGCACTCGGAGCAGCTGCACATACAAACACCGTCGTGTTTAAACGATAGAAATATAAAAGAGAAACGATATATATATATATATATATATATATATATATATATATATATATATATATATATATAT